ATGTTGGTTGATTGTTGATAGTATCGTTTAATGCGTTTTTATTCCATAATTTCAATAACATTATAAATCAATTTGTTATTTTAATCAAGGTGGGTGTTATTGTTGATACATTGATATATTTATTTCCTTTCTTTGTATTTCGATGTGAGAACCCAAAAATCTATATTTAAGGGTGGAACTACATATCCCAAGGTTTTTAGTGTTAGCCATAGAGTTGTATACTGTGACAGCTCTTAAAGATTTATTATATATGATAAAAACGCATTTATTATATTTACAGTTAAATAAATAATATATAATAAATAAAAAAATAAATAAATAAATAAATAATTGATAAAAATAAAAAATGAATGAATAACGGCAATAATGATTATATATGTGTTTTCGTGTTTTTATGATTCAGTCAATGTCTGGATTATCAGGATAAAAGAAAAATGCCAAAGCAATTATGGTGTAAGTAGCTAATAACATTGCACCTTCTAACCAATTAGATTTACCATCCTATAAAAAAAAAATAAAAAAAATATATATGAATTTTGGAGTTTTAAAAAGAAATCTTACAAGTAAGAGAAAAAAAGCGTTTACCTGAATAAGATAATTTGTCATTAAGACTGAAATAAATAAAACGACAGTCTCAAAGGTATGAAAGAATAAAGTCATGTTTTCATCAACTATCCATCCAACTATGACTAAAAATGGTGTGATAAATAATGCTATTTGCTATAAAAGAAAAAGAATAATATTAGCAAAAAGAAAACGTGGAAATGTGAAAAGTTGAATTTCATGTATAATAATAGATAATATTACCATAGAACTACCAACAGCAACACCAATTGCAAGGCTCATTTTATTTTTCATTGCAACAGTTACTGCAGTTACATGCTGAAAAAAAAAAAGGTGATTAATGAATGTTTTTTACACACACACCCTTCAATGACAACAATAACAATAAATACATACCTCAGCAGCATTACCAACAATAGGCAATAAGATTAAACCAACAAAGGTTTTTGATAAACCAGACACTTCAACAATTCCTTCAATTGATCCAACCAACAAATCAGCAGAGAATGAAATAAGGAGTGTAATGAATGCAAGTAAAAATAATGAATAACAAAGTGAAAATTCTGGTTCTTCTATTTCATCTTCTGTTTCAAGATAAAATCTTGAATGTGTTTTTAACTAAAGGAAAAAAATAAATGAATAATTTGTTTATTAATTTATTTATTTATTTTATAATATATATTTTTGCAAAAAAAAATTTTTACCTGGAAATATAAATATAACACATAAATAATTAATAATACAATTGATGCACCACGGGATAAATTTATTGTTTCTTCTTGGAGAAAAGCC